AAAACACCGTGATTAGTCTGTTGAGTTTTGCTAAACTAGCTGCATCAAAATAGTATCTATCAGGAGGTGGGGCGGAACTTAGGTTACAAGTTTGGGCCTACAATTGGAAACAAACCTCCACCCACCCACCTCCCAATTACTTCAGTGTCAATGGCGCTAACTCTTTTAAAATATATATATTTTTTTAATTTTTTTTAAACAGTCCCTCACCCTGGGCTGGAACTCCTGAACTCAGGTGAGCCTCCCACCTCAGCCTCCCAAGTAGCTAGTGATATCAGAAAAGTGGCGTCCCCAGCCAGCTCAGCCAAGTGGAGCTGGGGGACCTGCCACCTCTGTGTTGGTGGCAGCAGCTGGCAAAGGAATTGGCAGGCTGGAGTAAGCGGAGGAGATTCCCTCCCCCACCAGAGGCTCCAGTAGAGCAGCACTAGAGGACCTGCTGACTCTGCCTTGGCAGCAGCTGGCACAGAAACCTGTAGGCTGGAGCCAAAGGGGGAGCTTTCCTCTCCCACTGGAGGCTCCAGTAACAAAAAAGCCACGGCTCATCAGGGGGAAACACTGGCGATTCCTCTGGTGCATCCCTGATTGGTCCATTTTCAATCCTGCTCCTGATTGGTCCATTTTCAGGAGCTAATGGACCAATCAGCTCAGCTTTCAGCTCATTGGACAACTGCCCCTATATAAACCCCTGAGTAGCGCACCTAGGGGCAGATCTTCCAGACCTTCCAGGAAGAGGGAACAGCAGAACAAAGACCTCGGCAGATTGCTGCAGACCATGGAGAGAGAGAGAGTGCAGAAGAGGAAGAGCTGTAACGCTTGTATCCTGCCCTGTAAGAGCTTTGGCTCTTTCTAAGAGCTGTGACACGTATATAAAACCTATCTTCACCTGCTCTGCAAGGTTTGGCTCTTCGTAAGAGCTGTAATAATACCTCTGTAAATAAAACCTCATTTACTGTCCATCCTGTGGTCTATCAATTCATCGAATCATTGAGACCAAGAGCCTGGAAATTCAAAGTCAAAAATCTGGTATCCCTAGGACAACAGGTGCATGCCACCAAGTCCAGCTCGTTTATTTAGTTTTCATTTTTGCAAAGCTGGGGTCTCCGTGTGTCCCAAGCTGGTCTTGAACTCCTGACCTCGAGAGATCCTCCCTCTTTGGCCTCCAAAATTGGGGGGGGATAATGGGCATGAGGCCTTACATCTCTGAATTAACTACGTTCTGCCAAATTCTTAGAGTAATAATCTTCAACCCCTATCATTAAATAACTCTAGCCATCAGGGAGCTATGTACTTTAAAAACATACTTTTCTATCATGGAAAACATAGCATGGTTAGTAACCGCTCTGCTGCCCTTTATGAGTGAGGCTGATGCTCTTAATCCCACAGTAGAGGGGAGCAGGGTAAGGCCCTTCATGCTCAGTTGTTTTTCCAACATTGTTATTTGTGGGGACTCAGCTGTATGTTCTAGGTAGACACTGGCTTATCTAAGGTGCTACTAGGAGGGTTAATGGAGTGCCGTGGCATATTGTGGTGGGTGGGGGAACCTCTGCTCTGGCTTTTTGTCCTCATGTCCAGGATACTCAAATTGCTGTTTCATTTTTCTGTGAGCTGCTCCTTTTCCCACTTAAAAGGAAAAAAAAAAATGTATGAGCCTGGTTTTACATAGTCTTGACCCAAATGCCAGCCCACAGAAATGCCCTGACCATTCTTGTTTCCATTCAATGGAGCTCCTACTACAATATGTCCTTGGACATGACACATATTAGATATTATGATATTCCTTGCCCTCTTTCAACAGTGCAGCCCATAACAAAGTACAATAAAATAAGTATAGGATAATACCTATCCTGGCACAGAGTAGGTACCTAACAAGCACTTGTCCAGTCAATGAGATCTAAATGGATGGTGCTTGTTTTTTTAAAAAAAGTGGTCTGATTTAAATTTTGCAGGAAAACATGAGGAAAATCACTTATATATGAGGTGATTGGGAAGGAATCCTAGAGGGCGTGGTAAGTATAGGATTTCCATATAGAGAATTGCCTAAGAATTTAAAAATGAGAAGGTATGTTTGATATGCTTTGAGATATGGTAGAGGTAGAGAGTCCTAATTTTTTTAATAGGAAATAGGCCCCTATGAGATTGTGATAGAAACTTTGTGATACTGGACTTTGATATTGGATTTCCAGGTTCTTGGTCTCAATAATTTGATTAATGAATCAACAGAACACAGGATGGAAGTTAGATTTTACTTAACAGATATTACAGCTCTTACAAAGAGCCAAACCTTGCAGAGCAGGTTAAGATAGGTTTTATACAAGTGTCACAGCTCTTAGAAAGAGCCAAAGCTCCTTGCAGGACAGGATACAAGCGTTACAGCTCTTCCTCTTCTGCACTGTCTCCCTCCATGGTCTGCAGCAATCAGCTGAGGTCTTTGTTCTCCTGCTCCCTGGAAGGTCTGGACAATCTCCCCCAGGCACTCTACTCAGGGGTTTATATAGGGGCAGTTGTCCAATGAGCTGAAAGCTAAGCTGATTGGTCCATTCTCTCCTGAAAATGGACCAATCAGTAGCAGGATTGAAAATGGACCAATCAGGGATGCACTGGAGGAATCACCAGTGTTTTCCCCTGCAGGGTCTGGTCTTTTTTGCTACTGGAGCCTTCAGTGGGAGAGGAAAGCTCCCTCTGCTTGCTCCAGCCTGCAGGTTCCTCTGCCGGCTGCTGCAGCCAAGACGGAGGCAGCAGGTCCCCCAGTCCCACTCAGCTGAGCTGGCTGGGGCATCACTTTGTCTAGTATCATTTGGACCCCCCTTAATAATAAATGTAAAATGTTTGCATATGTTTTCTGGGAGTTCATAGACCAGCTGAAGTATATCTGTGGACTCCCTAGAGATCTGTAACTTAAGTTGCCAAATAATTTGTTTGAAGGGAGGGAGGAAGAGATTATTCAAGTTGAGGCTGTCATAAGACATATTTCTATGGTGACCAGCAGAATTTGGGCAATGCCTGTGGAAATGGAAAAAGAAAAGTGTTCTGTAAAGAAAAATTGCATGCTAGGGAAACGTAGCTGGACTTTCTAAGAGTTTAGGTTCTTTTTGTAAAAGAGAGTTTCACTTTCATAATACAGCCAAAAGGGAAGGGATTAAAAAAATATAGCACTGTTAAAATATTGACAATAGCTGATGCTGGGTGGGCACCTGGGGTTTGTTGTTTTATCATCTCTTTATTTGTGAGGCTTGACATTTTCCATGACAATAATTTTTTGTTTTTTGAGACAGAGTCCAACTATGTCACCCTCAGTAGAGTGCTATGGCATCACAGCTTACAGTGATACCAGATTTTTGACTTTGGATTTCCAGGCTCTTGGTCTCAATGATTCAATGGACCACAGGATGGACAATAAGTTAGGTTTTATTTACAGAGGTATTATTACAGCTCTTACAAAGAGCCAAACCTCCTTGCAGGGCAGGATGTTAAGTGTCACAGCTCTTACAAAGAGCCAAACCTTGCAAAGCAGGATGCAAATGTTACAGCTCTTCCTCTTCTGCTCTCTCTCCCTCAGGGGTCTGCAGCAATCTGCTGAGGGCTTGGCTCTCCTGCTCTCTCTTCCTCAAGGTCAGTGACTATCTGCTGAAGTCTCACTCTTCTGCTCTATCTTCCTTGAGGATCTGTGATGATCTGCCCCTAGGCTCTCTACTCAGGGGTTTATATAAGGGCAGTTGTCCAATGAGCTGAGAGCTTAGCTGATTGGTCTATAAAATAGACCAGTCAGGAGCAGGATTGAAAATGGACCAATCAGGGATGCATGGAGGAATCGCTAGTGTTTTCCCCTGATGGGCTGGGTTTTTTTTGTTACTGGACCCTCCAGTGGGAGAGGAAAGCTCTCCCTTTGGCTCCAGCCTGCAGGTTTCTGTGCCAGCTGCTGCTAAGGCAGAGCCGGCAGATCCTCTAGAGCTGCTCTACTGGAGCCTCTGGTGGGGGAGGGAAACTCCCCCGCTTGCTCCAGTCTGCCGGTTCCTTTGTCAGCTGCTGCCACCAAGACAGAGGTGGCAGGTCCCCCAACCTTGCTCGGCTGAGCTGGCTGGGGCACCACTTTTCCGGTATCAACAGCAACCTCCAACTCTTGGGCTTCAGCAATTCTCTTGCCTCAGCCTCCCAAGTAGCTGGGACTATAGGTGCCTGCCACAGCGTCCAGCTATTTTGTTGT